AAACCGTCGTGCGATGTTGTTTGCAAATTTCGCTCTCGTGTCCACCGAAGACAGTGTTTCCCATTTGATTATCCGGTTGCTTTTGCCACCGGATCTTCGTATGGTACTCCATTTCTTACAGCGTAGCTTCCAACAACAAGGTGATGGTCGGTTGATAGCTCTGCGCCTTTCTTTACGTGAACATTCATTACACAGCGTCTTAAGTCAGGCGATACGATTGTTAAATAAATCATTTACTTCTATGCACAAGCTTTCCGGTACCAGGTATACGGGTGTAGTCTTCGATGTTTGATGAGGGTGTTCATAATCAGCAGTCGGTTGTTTGCACAAAACCTCAATAACTTAATGTCGCTATTGTTGAAGTTGCTAGGGCGGTTGTTTTCAATTAACGCTTTTCCACTTTCCGGCGTCCACTCCGAGATGGGCATTTAAATTTCCATAATTATGCGGGACTCTGAAATTACCAACTTCAACAGAGTACACTTCTCTTCATCAAGGAAGGTGTCAGATTCTCTCTCGAAATTGAGCGCATAAACCTGTAACAAGGTCAACGTTTTAGGATTGTAGCTGCGGTCGGAGGATTGCCACTCTCACGCTGACAATCCTCAATTCAGTGATTCCATCAGCGAGATTTGGTTCTACCAGAGCACAAGCATCGGTCGGAGCGCACGTCGTAGTGCCGACACGTGATTAGAATAGCTTCAATCCGCAGAGGTTCAGAAATTGAGAGCCTTGGCGCTTCGTCGACGAGAGTTCAACAATGTCGAGTTGGTGCTTTATGACCTCATCAACTTAGTCTTGTTCTTTCCCCCTGAGTGATTATATATTCCAAGTTATGATTGTAAGCTCTCACTGGCGGTGTCGTTCTCGTGGAGCCCTTGCTGACGTGCCATATTGGCATCCGCTGTTTGCTTCCTCCGTTCAGTACCGTTAGCGACTCTGTTGCTGACTGGTATCTTCGTCATTGTTCCGTCGATCTTTGTCAGCCACTGTTGTGCTGCAACCTCCGCCCCCTACCCGCGGTTGACACAGGGCGATGAGCAGGTTCGGATCGCCGACTTTTCGCAGTCTCCGTCAGC